TCCTTTTTTTTTTTTTTTTTGCTACATAATAATAATAATTATAATACGTGACATGTTTTATTTCAGACGGATGGGAATTGGGATGAAGCTGGTGAAGAAAATGGAGGAATGGTTCAGAGAGAATGGCGCTGAGTATTCCTACATAGCCACCGAAAAGGACAACGTAGCGTCGGTGAATCTGTTCACTGAAAAATGCGACTACTCAAAATTCCGTACACCCGCCATCCTTGTCAATCCCGTCTTTGCTCATCCACTCCCCGTCTCCCAACGGGTCACTATCCTCCCACTTTCACGCGCCGACGCTGAGATTCTCTATCGCCGCCGTTTCTCAACCACTGAGTTTTTCCCCCGAGACATTGACGCTATCCTCAACAACGTACTCACTCTTGGCACCTTCCTCGCCTTCCCACGTGGCACTTACTTGCCTCAGACCTGGCCCGGGTCGGATCGGTTCTTGCTCGACCCACCCGAGTCCTGGGCGGTTCTCAGCGTCTGGAACTGCAATGACGTGTTTAAACTTCAAGTACGTGGAGCGTCACGCCTGAAGCGGAGTTTAGCGAGGACGACACGGGTGTTGGATAGAGCATTTCCGTGGCTCAGGCTGCCGTCGGTCCCGGAGCTCTTTAGACCGTTCGGGTTGCACTTCTTGTACGGGCTGGGCGGAGAAGGGCCCGAGGCTGGGGGAATGGTGAAGGCGCTGTGTGGGTACGCACATAACCTGGCGAAGGAGAGAGGTTGTGGGGTGGTCGCGACGGAGGTCTCGGCCAGAGAGCGGCTCAGAGGCGCTATTCCACACTGGAAAATGCTGTCGTGCGAGGAGGATCTTTGGTGCATCAAGCGCCTCGCCGAAGATTTCAGCGACGGCTCTGTGGGTGACTGGACCAAGTCACCACCTGGCTTGTCCATTTTCGTCGACCCCCGAGAATTCTAAATTCTAATCTTCTTCTACTGTCCTTCCATTTCCGCCACCGCCACCACCACCGCCATTGCCGTTTTTTTTTTTTATCCCTAAAAGTAAAGTTGTACTTGGTTTTGTTTTTGTTTTTGTTTTTTAAGGATTAGAAAGGGCAGATTTTGTGCGAAAAAGCCGAATGGGGAAAGGGAAAGGAAAGTAGTAACGGATCATAGATTATGGCCTTTTGTTGTAAAATAACCTTTTTTTTCAATTTCCCCCCTTTCTTAAAAGCTTAGCTAATCAACCTTATTAGATATTAAATTAAAAACCAAGACTTAATTTTCTAATTTAAATTCATATATTTTTAAATCATCTTTATAAATATAAATAATAATAAGTTCAGATTAATTGGAATCCGTAAATAATAATAATTAGGAAATTAGAATATTTTTGTTGTATAATAATATTAATTTGACTTGACTGAGATTATTATTATTATAATTATTATTATTCTTTTACTGAAATTCCAACTTGGTTTCCAAATATAATATCATGTAATATTATTATAAGCACTAAAGTTCTCAAAAGTAGGAATCGTTGACTATTTAGTTTTACTTGGTAAAGCAGACGTCATTTTCCCTTCGAAAAAACAAAAAAAATAAAATAAAATAAAATTTCCCGAAAATGCTCGAAAAAGTTCACAAAAATAATTAATTTAAGCTAAAGTTTTGGATTAGGTAAAATTCGGTTTCCAATAATAATTTAAGCTAAAGTTTTTGAGTGTCACATTTTTCTTGGTAATTATATAATTTGAGTGAGTGTCTCAAAATTAAACTACAAATTACTTATATATATATATATATAAATAGGGTTAAGTTTGAACGTTGGGGAGTTTTCATATTGTTGGGTCAAAGTTTATTTGGTATGTCTTAATATAATCAATTAAAGATAATATAGGCCTAAACTTAGACTCCAAATCCAATTTATTATTATTATTTTATTTATTTAGCTTTTGAATATGGGAATCTGTGAAATTTAGGCAGGGATATGGTAGGGGGACCTATATTTAAATTCAATTTTTATTTTTTAATTTTGATCAAGGTGTGAAGTTTTAAAAAATAATTAGTCGATTAAATATGTAATGAAACCATAACATAAGAAGAGGACCACAAAACAAAATTCTGACAAGACAGCCTCTGACATTCCTTACTACGTTTTTTTTTTTTTTTTTTTTTTTGGTGATTTATGGTACAACAAAAATATTATAACTCAATGACGCATTAAAATAAAACGTACAGACCAATAATTCCTACGTGAATTCAGCTCAGCTGTAAGAACAGGTTTTACATGCACAATATACGACCGAACTCTCCTTTGTAATGGTGGGAATTTGTCAGCGGATTCTACTTCTTCTAACTGTCAAAACAGAGACACATTTTACAAACACTCACTCACTCACTACATTTGTAGAGCGTGTTTGAATTATGATATCGAATGCCTCAGGCTTCTGGACGGGGTCGACGATTTGGTTTCCTCTGCGTTTGAAGACCCCGGACTTTCTGATGTCTCCGAGCTACTGATCTCTCCGTTTCTGTCTTTGTTCGACCAAAGTTTCGAGAAGATCTTCTTTGATATCAGCATGCCCTTCATTTTATTCCCCGAAACCTTTTCGGCGTTGTTTTTAGTCACGTCGCTGTTTCCTAGCTTTAGAGCAGCAAGTTCGCCTTTTAAAGCTCTGATTTCATCAATAGTTGGTATGGCATCCCAGTCGTCCTCTGCGTTCGTTGTAGTTGATCTTGAGCTTCCATGAGATCCCCCTCCTGGTAATAAGGCCCTAATAGAACTCGGTAGATCAGGCGTACTGTCGCCAGCTGATGCTGCCGAGGCTCGCATTTGTTCAAAGAAGAGAACCTGAACAACGACACGCAATGGAAGTCGCTCGTTTTGCACTGCATGCAAACACGCATCAGGCGACAATTTTCTACAGTCCATCAATCGACAAATTTTCTTACGCTCGCTCTTGCTGATACCAGGGTGTTCCTGCAGTGATGCAAGGTCAAATCTATGTTAAGGTTGTTCATACTATAATGCAGCTGCTTGAACTAAAACGGATTTAAAATATACCTTCAGGTACATATCAATGGCTCGGTATAGTCCATCGTGAGATGGTCTGGAGAAGCTCGATACTGATTCAGCAAGGCGTATAAATTTCGAGATGGGTAAGTTAGGATCACGAGAAACTTCAGCAAGATAGCCATCTACCAGCTTTGCAACCATCAACTTGGAAGCATCAGAAACAAACTTGGGACTTCTAATCTCATGATATTCATTTTCCATGTGAAGATCAGTGTGGACGTCCTGCACCTGCGTCACAAACTCCTCGACAAGGCTTTGTACCATGTCAACGTCGTAAATGGTCGTCTCACCGGCAGGAGCTCGAACTAAAAGATCAGCCACGGTGGCCTCATCAAGCTGCTGACCAATTCTTTTCATCAGTTCAATTCTTCCCATCTCTCCACAATCTAGCAGAATTACTGCCTTTAACAACTTAAGAAAGAAGTTACAGGAGACTTCCCCCTTCCCTGATGGAAGTAGCTGCACTATTGTGTCCACCAGTAGTCTATTTTTAGCAATATCACCACCCTGGACCATACCTTTAGAAAATCCAGGTAACCTCCTCGACGCATACGCTTTCAAAGCTTCACCAAGAACATCCCCACTGATTCTACCCCTCGTCTTAATCGTCGATATTACACGTTTGTATAAGTCAACTTGAAGCTCACAGAGATCTTCAACCCACCAGTCCTTCGGAACAACTTTCTGCGTTCTCACACCATTCCAATGAGAATCGTCACCATTTTCAGATGGAAGCTTCTTCCTGTTATAAGTGTACGACCATTCAACCTTCGACGTATCGATGCAACACTTGGTAGCTATGGAATCAAGGCAGTGACTGACCACCTTAAGTTCCTCAGACCATGGAAGAAGAGACTTAGTTGTCTGAAGAACGATTATCGAGTCTTTCCAGCTTCTAAAAATACTCGAGTTGAGAAAGACCTCAATCTTGTAGATGAGATTCCCTTTCTCAATGGTTTCATACATCTCGAGATACTCGGCTGCACATCTAGCAGCGATCACATTGTATGCATTGAGTGTGACAATCATACCATAACAGAACTTTGCACAAATTTCAAAAGCAGCCGCTCCCCCAGGTATATCCAGGATATGGATTTCATCACTATTCTCTTCATTCGACAGAGCGACTAATTTTTGCAACCGAGCGCTTTTCGACAGAAGCGGAAACTACAATAACGAGAATGCTAAATGGTATTAGTACAACTTCTAAAAACATTATGTTTGTCCTGTTAAGAACTGTGAATAATATTCAGTCTTTTATTTTTAATCTTTGTTCAACTTTTGCTGCTAAAGAATAACAATCTTTCACATAAAAGTGCAAAAGTTAATCTGCTAAACCTATACATTGCTTCTAAGATAGGAGTAATGACAACAACGAATGGTTTTACATATTATGTGAGATCCCACGTCGGTTGGAGAGGGGAATGAAGCTTTATAAGGGTGTGTAAACCTCTCCCTAGCATACATGTTTTAAAAACTTTGAAGGGAAAGCCCAAAGAGGACAAAATCTGCTGCCGATAGACTTGGGTTATTACAAATGGTATCAGGGCTAGACATCGAAAGGGAGTGGAATCCCACATCGGTTGAAGAGGGAAACAATGCATTCTTTATAAGGGTGTGAAAACCTCTCCCTAACTGACGCGTTCTAAAAACCTTGAGGGGAGGTCCGAAAGAGAAAGCCCAAAGACTATGTTACATATTAACAACGAGGTTATGATGTCAATCAAAGAATAATTCTAAACCTACTAATTTCAATAATATCAAGTTTGATTAATGAACAATAAATGCAGTGGATAGTGTGGATCTTGACTCGATCATACTCTTTAATGGCTTGTCACTGCCTCTGAAATAAATATGAACCAGATCCATACCTTATGCAGATAAAACTTCACGTCTCCGACATTGACAGCAATGTCAGTGGCCAACTCGGTCGCTACATACCTGAAAGAAACAAGGATGATTCGAATCTCATTCATTAGCCAGCCTTGAGAGCTTACACAAGTTGAATACCAGGAATTGGGTTCACTTTTGGCTTATGGAAACTCGGTGTTCGCTTATCCCTAAGTAAAAGCCTAAGCCCACCACTAACAAATATTATCCGTTTTGGCCGATTACGTATCGCCGTCAGCCTCACGGTTTTAAAACGTGTCTACTAGGGAGAGATTTTCACACCCTTACGAGGAATGCTTCATTCACCTCTCCAACCTATGTGGGATCTCACAATCCACCCTCTTGGGGCCCTGCATCCTCACTGACACACCGCGCAGTGTCTGACGCTGTTACCATTTTTACACAAGCTCACCGCTAGCAAATATTGTCCGCAAACCCATATAAAAATGTAGTTCACCTCTCCAAAGATCTCACACCCTATGAAAAGTAATGGGAATTAGCAAACACAAAAGAACGAATGAATCAACACCAGAAGTTCCTGTGGTGTCTAGTTCATGAAAGTGGCAGTTGTATTCATTTGATGAACAATAAACTTATGATAGCATCAGCAGCATAAGCAGGAGGGAATGGAGAACAAAAAGCACATCGAAGGCAACTAAAAAGGAAATATGTCTCACCTAATTTTGTCCCCATCCGTCTGAAATGCATCAGGCTTGGATCCAAGTTTCATAAACTTCATGTTTTTGGTCAAGAAAACGGATCTGAGTATCTGTTTTCTTCCTCTTCTTCAAGATTGTCTATGTCAATCCAAAAAAAAAACCCAGAAAGAATATATCCAGAGAAGTAGAAGACAAGCCACAGAAGAGGAAGGACACCAAAAATTGACCCGATCTCTTATTGTGAAAAGGGAGTGGGCAAATCTGGGGGGGGGTTTTCCCTAGTGTGACCGAATCTTTTGAACAAACAAAGGGAGAAGCAGAAAGGGTTTCGATAATTTAATGAAATAAACACAGCCTGAAACTGAAAAAGTAGTAAACAAAAGATTGCTTCCTCAGTGAGTAACACTCCCCAAGGACCCCGGGGATAGAGGGTCGAATGGGTATGACATTACTAAGAAAACACCGTTAGAACGTATAGAACTCGCAAAGCTGGAGACACCCCCACTTGCTAATACCTGACACCACCGTCCTTTCCTTTATTTCTTTATCCTTCCCTTCTAGATTTCGTTTTCCCTGTTGGGTTCTTTCTTATTTTACTTCACTTTCCAATGGGTCAAATACCCAAAATCCTTTCCAGCCCACTGTCTTGGATTTGAAAGCTCAACAACACCTGAAACTGCAAATACAAATATCCGTTGTAAGTTCGCACACCCAAGTTGTTTGGATTGAGAAGAAGAAATCAAGAGATCCTTTGGTTAAACCTTTTGAAACACGTCGAATCAAGATATTTCAGAGGTGCAACGAATGCAAGACATGAAAATAAGGAACAGTTTACTGAAGAAGTGAGAGGTGAAGAAGGTGGGTGGATTTGGAGAAATTCCGGAAAGGAAAACAAAAGGGGGAAATGGGCAAGGGAGAAAGAAGGAATCAAGCAGAAGAAAGCAAACAGTAAGAAGATAAAAGTTAAAAAAAAGAAGAGAGGGATGAGAGGAGGTGTTTGGGGTTTCCTTTTTCGCTTTGGCAAACACGAAGAATCAAATATCGATGGGCACAACAATCAGAAACAATGTTCACAGAAGCGAGCACTCCAACCCTCAAACAACCCCACACAGACACAAAAGAAAGAAGGAAAGCAGCAAAAAGTAAAGTAAAGGAGCACCCATCAAAGATATGAGCTGTGCCCCATCTTTGACAGCCACCACAGCCACACAAACACAAAAGGCCAACCTCAGAATGTTCCCTTTTCTCTCTCTCTATATATCAAGTCTCAGGGCAACCCCTCCTTCTCCCTCTGAATCAGCACCACCGCCCCCACCACCGAGAAATCTTTGGGCGATGGAAATGGGGTTTTTGAGAAGCGAAGAGAAGCGAAGAGACGCATGAGGCCCCCACTCTTAGCTTTTGAACAATAAAAATAGCACGCTAATCTGACACCCATAACTTTGCTGCCCCCTTGGGCGACTACAACCAGCTGAGTCGCCCCTATCAACTTCGTCTTAGTACATGTCTTTGTGCGCATATGTTCACCCAAAGTAAACAACACACCACTGTTATACCAGAAAACGACCCCCTTCCTCTCCCCTTTCATCATATCTCCCTCCTTTTTCTTCCTCTGTTTTTATTATTTTGTCGCACAGAAAAGAAAAAAAAGGAAAAGTAGATTCGTTTGTTCCTTCCTCTTTTTCTTTCCCTAAAAAAAAAAAAACCCATTCATTATTACCTTCTCTAATCACAAATTTACTCACTAAATTTAATTAATTATTTACATCAACCTTTAAATAAGTAATTTTCATTAAACATTAAGGCTATTAAAGTAATTTCGAGAACGCATGGGGGAGAGGAAGAGGGTGGGAATTAGAAATAAGAAAAGATTGGGAGAGGGAATGATGAAAATATAAAATAATATTTATGAACCTCAAATTGCAGATTCAATGAATGATACCCCCATTGCTTCCCATCATTACCTTCAAGATTTTGTATTCATTTTTTTCTTTGATATTAAAAAAAAAACAATTTTAAATTATAAGGTCTCTGCAAATTTAAATTATGAACCTTATCTTCCTCTTCGAGATGGTGGAATTTCGACCCTTTTCTTAATCTACTTTTTAATTTATTTTATTCATTAAAATTAATAATAAATTTTTAATTTTAGGGTTTAGGGTTTAGTGTCCATGACAATAAAATAATTTTTTTTAATATATCCAAATGTTAATTTTTTCATGGAAAGATGATTTACTTTTGAAAAAATTCAAAAAAAAAAAACAATATTTTTATGTTTTTTTCCTAAAAAAAAATAATATTAATTTGATTATCACAAAAATTGGTCTCTCCTTTTGAGAATCAAACCCACTTGCCTGCAATGTCTTTTTTTGGTGTTTTCCCATATGATGCACATGGAAAGGTGACATTATGTAGGATCCATGCAAAATACGAAAAATTTAATAATTATATTAATAATAATAATAATAATTAAAAACTATTGATAAAGATTATTGTCGAGATTTAATTAAACTTAATTTTTTGAAGGATGGTTTTTGAATGCTTTCAAAATTATAATAAATTAATTGTCGTATTTAAAAAAATTATAAAAAATAAATAATTAGGTAGTTGGTGTTAATTTAGACATTTAGAATCTTAATGAAATTCATGTCACCTAAATTTAGAAGATTTACAAATTTGTCGTGTTTTATTGAAAATCATGTGCCTTAGTCAAATATCATGTGATTTTTGTAACATCTGTCTAACTTTACCTTAATATATTTATATATTTCTCTATGTGTGTTTACAATATAGTTTAACAAATAAGAAAATTACTGAGCTATTCAATTAAATGAAAATTGTAGATGTGAAAATTTAATTGTGGTTCGAGTTTTAGTGAAAATGGTGGAGACTTTATATTGTCAATTAAAATAAAAATATGTTGAATACAATTGAAAACATACCATCTTTGTTAGCAGTGGCCTTGAGTTGTTGCCGTCGCTAGCAGAACTAGATACCGAAGATTTTAATAAATGGAACTAAAAAATTTTAAACATATTTTTATTGTTACGGTTATTAGATCGTGAATTATTATGCCCATATAGAATACATTTCTATTGGTACGAGATTTCTTTTTTTAAAAAAAAATTAATTACATAGTCATATTACGTATGTTTATAGTGGACAATATCGATAGTGTGGGAAGATTTATTTGATAAGAATGGTAATAAATTTGTGAGAAAGTGGATATGCAAAGGCAGGCACTAAGGTGGTGTGTTGGGCATATTCTGAGAGAGCAGAAGAAGAATTGGTGGGTGGTGGTGGTGGTGCCTTTAATCTTATATGTGGCGTTGGTAGCTGAACCCAAATAAAGCCTGGATTTCAGCAGAATTTTGGTACACATAAAAACAACTCACCAAAACACTTACAAATCCGCAGCTGAAAAAGAAACGCCTCATCTCAATGTGGGCATCAGTAATCATCATCATTACCCATTCACATGCTCAACACATTCCCTTCATTTTTGGTACCCTACCCTCTCCCTGTCTAAGACTCTCTTTTTTTTTTTTTTTTCTTTTTCTATCGAAGCATTTTTTATGGGAAAATTTATTTCTAAGAGACGTATTTTAAAATTATGAGACTAACTACGATATATAATAGACTAAAACGAACTATATCTGCTAACAGTAGACTTTAGCTATTATAGCTAAAATACACAGAGACAGAAGATGATGAGTATATTGGTAATCCAAATCGTTATGATTTGTGTAATTATTAATGTAATATGAGAGGAAGAGGAGGAGGATGAAGGGTTGAAATTGATGGGTTTTGAAGTATGAAGGAGAATGATGAACATGGATGCATGGTGTCTGTATTATATATTATTCTATTCTCTCTCCCAAGTGCACCATGCATCCATCTTCAAACCACATTGAACGCATTGGGAAAACCCTTTTCTTTTTTAATTATTATTATTCTTTAGGATTGGAAGGGAAGAGAAAGAGATGAATTAAAGGGACAAAGAGAGGTGCATGGTGTCCACTCCTTCTTGTCCATAATTTGTCCCTGTAAATAAATATGATTATTTCTATTTAGATTATAGGTTATCAATGTTGATATTGTCTTTTAGAACGAATTAACGAATTATATTTTCTAGAACAATATAACTTCGTTTTTTAGAAATGTTTTTAAGAAAATAGAGGTATAGGCTATAAAATATACCAATTGTGGTGACTTGCTTAAGAGCGAGAGTAAATGTTGCATATAAATTTAAAAAACGAGTGACATAAATATTAATATTTATTACTTTTTGCTTAATGGGTTTATGAATTTATAGTCACATCTCCACTTCCCTCCATTTTGATTGTGCTCATTATTATCTTTTGGTGTACATACTTTTAAAAGTGTATATTATAACTTATGAATATAAATAGATACACCCACTTCAACTTTTTGAGTTACAAAGGCATATATTTTTTACTAAGTGGTTCACATCACATTGAACATTAAAAAAAAAAAAAAAAACATTAATGCAACAAATATATTATAACATCAATTCTCTATAAAAAAAACGAGGTTTCATTTCAAAATCACTTGATAAAAAGAAAATTAAGTTATATAAAGTTGTGATCCAAGTCAACTCCGACTAAGTAGTTATATAGTTTAAATTTAGTAGAATTAAGAAATGAAATAAGGTTAAGGTAGAGAGTGTGTGTGGGTGTGGGTGTAAAATATGAAGAAAAAAAAAAGATGTGTGGATTGAATTGGATTGGATGGGCATTTAATTATAATTTATAAACAACAAAACACAAAATTACAAAACATGCGTCTCTTTCGCTGTTCTCTTCCTTCTCACTCCCTTCTTTTTCAACTTTCCAATCATGCCCTCTTCCCCTTTCGCTTTGCTGTTTAATAATTATGGCCAATTCCCTCGTTGTTCTTTTTTTTTTTTTTTTTTATTCCTTTTTAAAAAATGTTGTTTTTAAAACCAACTTACACGGCCCATTCATCTGTCTTCCTGTTTGTGGCTTCAACTAAAATGGAACCCATTTCCAAAGTTGGGCTCCAGTTGGGTTCGTAGCATCTCACACCAACTTGGCTCGTTTTAGAACGGCTTTTGGTCTCTAAAACAGTACGAAGTAAATTTTGATTTCGTTTCTTGATCTGTAATGTACACAAAGAATGATGCTGTTGAATAAAAAAAATTTACAGATTGAATTTGATTATACAAAAACATACAAGTTTTGTTTCGCCCTCATACGTATATGGTATCTATCGTCAAAAAGAATGGTGCTCTTGTTACTCCCTTTGTCCTCAGAATCCTTTTTACTAACAGTTTCCATTTTATTTCATCTTTCCTGCCCTGTTTCCTAGTCCTGTCCTTGAAATTCCTGAAATCGCGGAACATTCTCGTAAGTTGAATTCGAATTGATTGATGATTAACAAGAGCTGAAGGCAAAGGAGAATGGAAAAAAGGAGACGGATTGTGATAAATTACCTGCACAAAGGGACTCTACAGAGATCAGAATCTGCACAAAGATGAGAGTGCAATTCCAAGAGTTGCCACATTCTCTTGCACTGGGTACAGCCACCAGGGGCTCTTAATTTGCAGCCAGCAAAGTGGCGGATAAGCAATTCCAGCCCCTTGCAGGCTGCATATTTACATGGCGGCTGGTTCGCCTTGAAGTCTTTGTCGTGTGGGCCGATTGTGCGACAACCATCTCTACATATATGAACAAGAGCCTCCATTGCCTCAAATAGTTCCAAATAGACCTTCCTTTCGTTCATTCTCTTCACTCTTTTCTTTTGCCTCTGAAAGTAAAATTTGAAAGATCAGTTTAGAGAAAGGCCGGCAGAGCCTAAGCTCTTTACGGAGTCCGATACCATTTGATTTGAGGAGAAAAGAACACAGAGAGAAAGAGAGATGTGTTACATTGTCTTCGTCGATCACTGATCCAAGAAGTTCCTTTTCGAGTACTGGGTGGCTTTGCTGCATTGCTTGCCACGAGTCGGTGGAAGAAACAGCTTTGAAGTTTTTTAGGATCATACGGTGGCAAAGAAGGCTGAGACGGGGAGCATCACACAGCAATGCAAGTTGAAAAACATCTACTACATTTTCAAGTGTCAGCAAATCACGACCCAGTTGCCTCTCACACTCTTTCTTCAACTGAGGAACCACATATACATGTGACAGCACCAGCAGGGGCAATACAAATTCCTCCATTTGTTCTTTCTCGTATCTAAAATAAAATGTTGTAATAAATCAGAAAACACAACCAAATTCGTATGTCCTAAGATGTGACACAAAGGATTTTGGTAGATGACATCCAACTTCCAGTGGGGAGAAAAAACTCATAGTTCCATTCATGATAAGTTTCAAAATGTCCCTATTATTGTCATAATTAAATGTGGGCACACAAAGATCATGAAAATCCCAATTGGCAAGTCAATTAGCGAAAACTAACGATTTAACTAAATTAGTTAACTAACAAAACTAAACCAGTAAACTCATATTTTCTTCCTACAATAACATGCTTCTTCTCATAGTAAACAATTGGAAGATGGATATATCT